ACACGCCGTTCTACGTGAACGGGCTGATTCACCCTCGCGTCCCGCTGACGCCGCCATCGCATGGCTCAGGGCTTGATGGGGGGAATAGCCGAACGGCTAGCTATTGTCAGCCCCCTCACCATCCGTAAAGAAGTCGATTACTTCTTGTCTACCAGACTGAATGTCCTATGATACGTTCGCGATGCGATGGCTGAAAGCCAAGACCTGCGCAAACAATATGCAGATGAAAAAGAAAGAGAAAGTAGAAAGCTATAAGGTCGGGGACCTTGGTTTTATTGAATTCAAAAAGACATGCAGCCCTTGCTATCTTCCGGACGAAGCTTCGTCCACGGTTTATCGGACCGTCTAAGCGGTGTTTTACGTGGGCTTGCTCAAGCCGTACCGGGATCCGGCGCAAGTGAACTCGGAAGAGTTGGCGCCGGAGCGGATTATACGGGCCCGCGGCCACCCAGAAGTTGAACCAGCAACTGGTTCTGAGCACGGAGTGCAACAACTTTCATTTCCTATGGAGCCAAGCGCTCCACCGTTGCCTGCAGCGCTGCATTCGCCTGTTCCACGGCTAGGAGTCGCTCCGACCGAAAGCGGTGGTCCTCAAGGTGAGACAGCCGGCGCACGACGTGCTTCAAATCGTCAAGAGCGCCCGCACAGCGATATGCTACTTTAGTATGCATTCAGCGGAGCTCCTATTACGAAGGACCTTGTCCAAGGGCTCGAAGAGCATCACGAGTCCCCGGACGGCGGTCGACCCGGTCATCACCGTCCGCCACCGACTCTTCTCGATGAAAACGGTGACGTCCACCATCACTTGGAACATTTAGTCCGACGACGTCGTCACCAGGGTCAAACCTAATATCTGGTGAAGTGATATCCCGACTCCGAAGACTCGTGGGAGTTTTAGGCGCCATTTTGGCAAGATTGCTCGGTCGCCGTGGACGCTTTTGATCGGAAAGATCAGGACGTCCTGCGCCATCAGACGCCCCGCGCTTCCCCGCAATAACCAGGGAAGTAGACGGGCCGTGAGCTGAGCTCAAGCAGTGGCCCTGAGCTCTTGCGGTCGAAGACAGAGCTCACGGAAGCATTATGGGTTGTTAATCCATACGTCGCAGGGCGACAATCCGAAGGAAGTCGACGGCGTGCCTTGAGTTTGTCAAACTCAAAGCGGAGGTGTCACTCCACACGCACGTCCACTTCCATGTGGCTCAACTGTGAATTATGCAGTGGGGAAAGTTTTCGGTGCCGTTGCACCCATCACTCAAAGAGCGTTTCGTCATCTGTAGCGCTTTCGCCAGGGGCGAGCACTACAGGTATTTTCCGCATTGCGGGCACACGAAAGCCACCTCTTTGAGCACTTAGACGAGTGCGATAAACGTTTTACGAAATTTCTTGTGGGACCAAGAAACGAGCTCGAAGTGCTTTCCGCGTGGCAAGTTCATCATTCTTTCTGGCCGTGGGTCCGATCATGTGGACGCGTAACGGTCGAATTACCGCGTCCTTCGTTTC